ATTCGCAGCAGAGGGGGTGGCGGGGGGGCTAGGTTTGAGTCAAAAACACGGAAAAATTCGTGAATAAAAACCGCCGTGTGTGCATACGTGAACACGACCGGTGTCGCCACGAACCCAGCTAGACTAGTTCGATTCCCGCTCACGACCAATGACAGTGGCCGATATTCTGAACTGGTCCTGGGCCTTCTCTAGGCCGACTCCTGGTACGGTGTGTAAACATCGCCAGTGGGGAGACAAAGGCGGGCGGGACGTGGTGCTGGCCACTCGTGCGCAATGGCCAATCTTCAGGGGGATCTTTGTCTTTGTGTGCGCGTGCGATGCTACAATAATAGCCCTGAGAGCGAACAAAGCAAGGAGGCATCGACGGCGAGCCGAGCATTTCACTCATTACGGAATATAAATATCTATCGAGCAGGGCGAGGCGAGGTCAGACTGAGCGTCTCGTTTCGTCCATGCTGTTTAAGGGCGCCGCAGTGGAAGATGTTAACTACTTCGCCTGGTGTGCAGGAGGAGGTTGGTGGGTTAAGATTCAGAATATTTATTTAGATTGGAGGAATACAATGAGCTACAAAACACTTCCTTCACAAACGTTCAATCCTAACCCTGACGTCTGAAAATCTGGAGGTTGCACGTTTCTCTCCCCGTGCTCCTGTGGATTTTTCTCCGGGTCCTCCGGTTTTTCCCATCCACAATTAAAATCATGCATTTTTAAAAGTATTTGGCTGATATAAATGTCCACATTATGACAAGCCACTTCGTTGAGTTACCATTTGTGATAGCCAGGTTGTTAAGGAAAAATATCAATATTGCTCAGTGGGGCCTTACCTGGGAGAATAAAAAAGTTTTAGTTTCAACACACCAACTCCCAGTGCCGGTTACAACACTTCCCCCTTGCTGCTTATTGCCTCCCACCGAATCATTCCACTCTCCTCGAATTCCCATTTTCCCCTCCCTCCATTCCTCCCGCCATTTCTCTTCCCTCCCATCATCCTGCTATTCCTCTCTCCCGCCATCCATCCATCCCTCCCCTCCATCCCATCCTCCTGCCATCCCTCCCTCCCTCCCTCCACCCCTCCCCTCCATACCACCCTCCCGCCATCCATCTCTCCCCTCCCTCCCTCCGCCCCTCCCCTCAATCCCTCCCTACCGCAATCCATCCCTCCCCTCCCTCCCTCCGCCCCTCCCGCCCTCCCTCCCTCCATCCCTCCCCTCCGTCCCTCCATCCCTCTGTCCCTCCCTCCCTCCATCCCTCCGTCCCTCCCTCCCTTGTTACAACAAACCTTGCTCAATCCAAACGTTCGAGTTGCACTCAATATATTATTACGACTTCGACATGTGCCCCGTTTGTTGTTGCTTGTCGCCCTTCCCGGGGGGCTGGGAGCCCTTCCCAGGGGGCTGGGGGTCCTTACCGGGGGGCTGGGAACCCTTCCCAGGGGGCTGGGGGTCCTTACCGGGGGGGGCCCGACTACGCTCGGCGAGCAATTTTATCAAATTTTAAATTGTGCGGACGATGGAACGCGCAAAGCTGCTCGGCTTCTGTTGCACGTGGTAATTCACAAAGTTTCATTATTATTCGCCCCCCCCCCCACCCCGAGTAAAGCCTGTGAGCTATGCGGCTCTTTTTCAAGGCAGACAACCAAACAAGACCCATAAGAGGTTTTTTGAGTTCGATCGCGTCAAATCAAAAGTGTCGTTAAACCCGCCACCACCCGACACGGCCAATTAGTAAAGTTACGCCACGTAAACAAGACGTGCCAATTTGTTACTAGTTCAGCACCAACTGGTTGTGAGTTGGCGAGTGAATAAACAACATCTACAGAATTGCGCGATCCAACCCAGAAACCTCTAACTGGCCACGAAAGCCTACGTGTTAAACTGCGGTTCCCCCCTCCGTAGATATGACCGCCGCGCTGCGATCGCCGTTACGCTATTTACCCGCGTAAACTCCACGCGAGAAGCTGAGAAGAGAGATGGTTGCCAGCCCCACGCGCGGGCCCTTTTGCCTCCCGAACAGCGAGGTTTTACGCACACCGCACCGGGCGCTCATTTGAGGTTTAGTCGATCTAGGGGAGGCCCGGGACCGGTTTAGATTATCATCACTGGTGTTTTCCATGGGCGGATATCGAACTCGGGTTACTGGGTTCATAGTGCAGCGCACTAACCATGACACTACCACTCCCCGTGTGCTGAACTGTGTCTTTGACTTGGACACAAAGATAAAGATCCCCGGTGTAGCCTTTAACAGACTGCTGGGGCAAGTGCTATTCGCGAGCACCTACGAGGGCTGGCATGGCACACGAGGGAGTGGTGTGACCAGTACCATGCCCGACCGCCTTTGTATCCCCAATACTAATATTTGCACAACAGTATTGGGTTGAAGGGTGGTCACCACATCTATGCCTCTATATAAGGAACGAAACAGTAAGACTTCTCCACAAATCTGGCTGTCGCCTGATGAAGCTCGTTGTAATAACAGGCGAAACGTCGTACTCAGTTTGTAAATGTTGTGGGGCTTGGCTCTCCAACACACCGGCATGCTGTACTAGTATATTACACTATACACTACACACTACTATACCACTACACTACACTATACACTACAGTATACACTACTATACCACTACACTACTATACACTACACACTACTATACACTACACTATACACTACACTACTATACCACTACACTACACTATACACTACACTCTACACCACTACCACTACACTACTATACACTACACTATACACTACTATACACTACACTATACACTAGTGCTGTACTAGTGACGAATTGGCCACGTTCCGTTTACATGCCAATCCTTACTAGTTGGCTGTGTTGGGTGGTGGCGGGTTTTAACGACACATTTATATAGTTACGCGATCTATCCCAAAAACCTCTATTATGGAGTATTTGGGTTGGGTGTCCCTAAGAAAAGCCCAGGACCGGTTCAAATAATCATCACTGGCGTTGGTGGCCACGAGTGGGATTTGAACCCGAGTCGCCAGGTTGCAGGGCAGCGTGTTAACGGCCACACACAAAGACAAAGATCCCCCGTGTGGCCTTAACAGACCGTTGGGGCAAGTTGCTGTTAGCGCGCACCAGTGAAGGCCGACCACGGCATACGATGGGGGTGGGGTGGCCAGCACCAATGACACAACAACAACAACAACCGCCATTCGCCACTAAGTGGCGGTGACGTCACCACAACGCTTGTGCCAGGCCATGTGCACCTTGAGGCCACGTGAAGTGTCGAACGCCCACTGGCAGGAGGTCATGGGACAGACCCAGGTGCCACGGGTCGACTGACTGAGACGCCCGAGATGACTGGCTGATGCACCACCAATGACACACGCGCGTCCACTTGAAAGTCACGCACGGTTTGAGCGATTTTCTCGTGAACGACGCGGTTCGAGTTTTTGCAGTTGTACGCACGGCGAACGCAACCGCGGTGTTAACCGGGGCGGCTGCCGCGAAAACGTTGCACCAACAAGCGGCTCCGGGTCTCTGCGAAGCACCATACTCCAACGGCGGAACATGACGGGGGGTTTGGCAAAGCGGCCTTCGCGGGTTCCGCCCTGGCCTCGTTTTTTGCGAGCACTGGTAAAACAATAGCAGCCCCGCTGTGACACCAAGCTCAATCGGCGCCCTCGTTTTATTGCGCCCCGGTGTGTTGCAACCCGCGGCTCCCTCGACGGCGAAGCAAACGAGAGTGAATTACGACTGTGAACTTTGGAGTCGAGCGAGGGAGGAAAATCGGGGCGAGCTTTACAAAGCGAACCGTGTCGAGGTTGACTCATCGAACGCGGGAGAGGGGGGGGGGGAGAGGTTTCCCCATTCGTAGATAGAGTCATCATCGGGTTTGCTCTCCGAGAGTGAGTGTCAAAAAAAAATGCGCACGTACGCACTCGCGTGCAAAGAGCCGAGGTTAGCGTTGAGATCAATTGGCGTATGAGAGTGCCACGCTGACACAGAGCCGCGTTGCATCATGGCATGACGAGCCGTTTCCTGGACTTGGCGACGCCGACTGGTAAACAATTTAAATCAGAATCTGATGATGTTTTTAAACTCTAGGAATCCGATGAGCTATGAAGCTCTTTTTCGCAGACGTCCAGTAGGGGCGGATAAAAACGTTTGAAAAACAAACAGTAGTGCAAAGTGCAAGAAAAGTAAACGAATCACCCAAACACATACAAATAAAACGAAACCATCCCCATATTACCAGGCAAAGCCCCACTGAGGTTTTAACTTATTTGTCAGAAGCGACCTGGCCAACAAAATTGGCCCATCATTTGAACATTAATAGGAGCAAAACAAAAATTCCCAATAGTCTAAACGTCGACCGGAGATTACACGACACCTCTCGGATTACACGGCAGTTGCAAGGACGAGTCGAGGAATTTTTTTTAGTCTCAGTATTCTCAGCCCCCACCCCCCACCGCCCCCCCCCCCCCACAGTGTAAAGTGCGATCGCCAAATTATAAAGTCAGTTCGTCGCTCAGTCCTCCATTGGTCTCTCACAGAAGGAAGGGCCTTTGCCCGAAAGTTCAAGCGAACATCATCGACTCTCGATAATCTGGGTTAGCGGTGGATGGAGGGAGGGAGGGATCGCCTGGATAAGACAAAAACTCACCCTTGGAAGGGACCTCCGAGTTAGCTCTGTGATACCCGCTTCAGCGGGCAGTTCTCTCGCACTAGAAGGGATCTCAGAGGCAGCGCTGCGATATCCGCTTCCGTGGGCAATTCTCTCGCACTAAAAAGGATCTCAGAGGAAGCTCTAAATATCCGCTTCTACGGGCAGTTCTGTGACACTTGAATGGATCTCCGAGGTCGCTCTGCGATACCCGCTTCCTTGGGCCGTTCTCTAATCCACACGGTTGCAGCAGCAGCTCCACGAGAGAGATAATTAAACTCGCGTACTCTCCGTCTCGTGGCTACGCGACATCGACCAGCACCGACGGGGGCACAAACAAGTTTGGAGACGGTCAGACATTCGTGCCTCACCTGACGTAGAGCGAGCGCTTGAGGCTTGTTTTGAGCGAGCCCGATCCGGAGCTGATGCTGCTGTTCATCATCTGTTCCCGGAGGTCGTGAATCTTGGCTTCGAAGCGGGTGTACTCTGCAAGATAGGAGGAGCGGGGAGGGGGGAGGGAACGCATCCGTCGTCAGGTTTGGTTTGCGCAGGGCGTTGTATGAAAGTCAAAAAATAAAAAAACGTCAAGAGTGATTTCCTGCTCAAATGAGCATCGTGGCGGCGCTCGACTCCTGCTTCGCAGCGGCGGGAATTCCTCGTTCCTGTGGCAGGGCCGAGTCTGTCTTTCCACAGGAGAGCCGCCCTCCCCCCCCGTCCCCACACCCCGCAAACTGCTACTCATTTTATCAACCCCAGAGCGATGATGGGCCGAATCAACCAGGTGGTTCAGCTCTAACGGTGAACCACCTGTCGGGTCTTCTTGGTTCTTTCGGTAAAGTCACGCAGAAGGAAAATAATAAAATAATAAAAAGAAAACATAATAAAATAATTCTCACGACGCTTCGGCCACAACGCAAGCAGCCGTCTTCACGTGGAGAACAGGTCTGTCTAAATATATCGGCCCACATATGAATGCAAGCAAGTTTGCATGTGTTAACAGTTAATGTATGCATGTTTGTACGTATCTAAGCATGTAGCTGTACCCGTATGTATCAGTTCATGTGTATACATGCACATGAACGGGGGGGGGGGGGGCCCTTACAATTCACACTCGACGGCATCGACCGAGCAAAATCCACGACCGCCAAGAGACAAACCCCAGGGCTGGGCTGTCCACGATGGACGAGGCAAGCCTGGCCATGTGTTACTCGCAGGGTTCCTAAGAACCAAATTACCTCTCTCACAACGTTTGTTCCCCCCTTATTTTCCGGGATGCTAAGCGGCGTCGAGGCTGGGGGTTGAGAATAGCCACGGCAGAAGACAACCGCAGAACTACCGTTAGATTCATATCAAACAGACCACAGCGTCTGACCACACGATTAAGAAAACTAAAATTAAATAAATGTTATCCGATCGGCCTTCCGGCCCAACTTTTTTCCCGAACGTTCGTAAAAATCCTTGACTCCCGAGGTGCATTAAATAAAAACTTCTCTCGCCCAACGCGAGAACGATTTATTTAATTCTCTGTTCAAGGAACGGTTTCGCCACTCATCAATCGCCAAATACAGGAAACTCACGATTATCCGCGTGCTTTTCAGTGGATTAACCCCACACCTGAGATTGACATAAATTAATAACTCATGGATTTTCCCTTAAGCCCAAATTAATTATCTAAAAGCATTCCTACATTGTTATTCTTGGAAATGTTTATTTCAAGTCACGTCCTTAAACCGAACAAATATGTTGCTCCGGTTAATCCGACATCCACGTGATCGCCTCTACAGTACAGTAGTTGCCATATCTTTACAACAGTGGGTGGCAGAGTTTGATTGATGTTGATTGGCGTGGCTCTGCGACCCACTTAGTGGGCCGAGTCTTCTTCACAGGAACCAGGAAATTGTTATCACTGAGCATGTGCATCGATCGGTCGATCGTTAGTATTCGTTCAAAAGAGTAACAATCAAAATAGTCAGTTGTGCTTCATTGAGTGATTTTTCCAAACAATTAATTTGCAAGTTATAATTTACGAAACTGTGCAATGGCAGAGAAAATTAAACACTAATACAAACCTATATTCGTGGTTTTTGGCCAAGAGATCAGTGGAAAATGGTTATATTTTTGGATTATTGCAATTTTCAATCATCCGCTTTTGCAAACCATTCACACACGCGGTGCAACAATCCATTCAGCTGTTGCACACAAGGTGGCTTTCATTCCATAATTGCCGGATCTCCAACGAGAATATTAAGTTGGTCCGTGAACATTTGAATTAAGAGCGGTGGGGCGTACACGTGGCGGCGCAGCGCTAACCAACTCGTTCCGGTCACCCGAGTTCGATTCCCGCTCGGGGGGAACCCACCAACACCAGAGTCATGGTCGTCCGAAACTGTCCCGGGGCCTCGCCGCGCTCGGGTCGGGAAGGTCTCGGCCTCAAGTTGCTGAACATATCTCGCGCAGTACGTAGCCAACCGTGCTAATCGGAGGTGCAAAATGAGTGCCTGTGGTGCGGTGGTCTCTAAATATCGTCACGGGGGAGACAACGGCGGGGGGGCTGTGATGCTGGCCACCTATTCCGGCCTTTGTAAAGGTGGTCGCTAACACCACTTGCCTCACCAGCCCGCTGAAGGCTATGCGGGCGAACTTTGTCTTTGCACTGCACTTAATATGTGTAGATTGCCCCTCGCTAAGACACGGGGGGGGGGGCTGCAAGTGTCTACACATACGCACAGACTCACTAGCAAGCGTCTACACACACGCACAGACTCACTAGTGACTACACACACGCACAGACTCACTAACACGTGTCTACACACACGCAGACTCACTAACACGTGTCTACACATACGCACAGACTCACTAGTCACTACACACACGCACAGACTCACTAACAAGCGTCTACACACACCACACAACACTCACACACTCCACACACAATACACACTCGCACCACACAAGACAATCCCACACACAACACTCACACACCACACACACAACACTCACATCACACAATACACACTAACACCACACACAATACACACTAACACCACACACAATACACACACTCTCACACATAACACTCTCACACATAACACTCTCACATCACACACCACACACACTAACATCACACACAACACTCACATCACACAATACACACTAACACCACACACAACACTCTCACACCACACACAACAACGCACAGACTCGCTAGCAAGTGTCCACACGCACAGACACACAAGACTGCTTGCTTGCTTTGCCGCCTTCGGGCCACGTGTAAATATAAACAGCTGTTCCGCGACTGGCACACGTTTGGGGTTGGGTTATGGTGGGAAGAGAAGATTCGGTGAGAGAGGGTTGAAACCTACGCTTTAAAAACATCGCTAAACGACAAAGGTGGAGTGTTCCCTTTCACGGCGAGTGGAGGGAGGCGAGTCCCGAACCAGAAGTTAATCCATATCTGTCAAACCCATTATCAGTGCCCTAGCTTATTACAGACCAATTCAGACTGTATTGGTCACGCCGTGCACCTTATGCATCTCAATGTTCATCCTACAAAGTCCCATCTCAAATAAATAGACAATCACCACGAGTACTCACCACACAACACTCACACACCACTCTCACACACCACACTCACACACACACACCACTCACACACACACAACGCTCACACACACACAACACTCACACCAACACAACACATACACAACACTCTCGCACACAACACTCCCACACCACACACACAACACTCACACCAACACAACACATACACAACACTCTCGCACACAACACTCCCACACCACACACACAACACTCACACCAACACAACACATACACAACACTCTCACACACAACACTCCCACACCACACACACAACACTCACACCAACACAACACACACACAACACTCTCACACCACACACAACACTCACACACCACACAATACACACTAACACCACACACAACACTCTCACACATAACACTCTCACACCACTCACAACACTAACACCACACAACGAACAGACTCTCACACCACACACAAAACTCTCACACCACACACAACAACGCACACTCTCACACCACACAACACTTTCACACCACACACACACCACACAGACTCTCACACCACACACAACACCACACAACACTCTCACACCGCACACACAACACCACACAACTCTCACAGCGCACACACACCACACAGACTCTCACACCACACACAACACTCTCACACCACACACAACAACGCAGACACTCTCACACCGCACACACAACAACGCACAGAGACTTTCACACCACACACAACTCTCACATCACACACAGACTCTCACACCACACACACACAACAACGCACAGAGACTTTCACACCACACACAACTCTCACATCACACACAGACTCTCACACCACACACACACAACAACGCACAGAGACTTTCACACCACACACAACTCTCACATCACACACAGACTCTCACACCACATACACACACAACAACGCACAGAGACTTTCACACCACACACACCTCTCACATCACACACAGACTCTCTCACACCACACACAACTCTCACATCACAGACTCTCTCACACCACACACAACTCTCACATCACACGCAGACTCTCACACACACACACACAACAACAACGCACAGAGACTTTCACACCACACACAACTCTCACATCACAGACTCTCTCACACCACACACAACTCTCACATCACACACAGACTCTCTCACACACACACACACAACAACGCACAGAGACTCTCACACCACACACAACTCTCACATCACACACAGACTCTCTCACACCACACACAGACTCTCTCACACCACACACAACTCTCACACCACACACAACTCTCACATCACACACACAACAACGCACAGAGACTTTCACACCACACACAACTCTCACATCACACACAGACTCTCTCTCACACACACAACAACGCACAGAGACTCTCACAACACGCGGAATTCCGAGAAACCTCGTGGCGGCGTTACAGTTACAATGGCACATCAGTCACAAACGGCGGCACCACTCGCGTCAGTTACCGGTGACGGGGTGGGGGGTGAGGAAGGGTTTAGCAGAGTGAGTGGTTAAGGGCTTGGTGGTGGTGGTTATTGTTTAAAGACAAACCCAACAACAACAACAACAAGCGGCTTAAATACCGGGGGCCTACCCACACAAGACAAAGCCTCGAGGCGTTTTTTTCTTTAATAAATAAAATTTATAAAATGTAAAGTTACAGAAAGTTACGACCTCTCGAGACGCAACCAAAATAAAAAAATAAAAATCCCGCGAGTCGCTGCATTTAGCTCCACACCGCAGCAGCAGCAGCAGCAAAAAAAAAGACCGCGGAGAACGTGGCGGGTCGAGGGCGAGGCGAGTCGGGGCCCGAGGCGAGGCGCGCCAGGCAGGCGAACCAGGCAAGACAGGCTTTGCGGCCTACCGAGGCGGGGTCGGGGCCCCGGGGGTCACTCACCACC